CTGATTTTTAATTAAAAGCTTTGTGTGAAAAATGCTATGCTAAAGAGCTCTAAACACACCGAGCATCCGCCATTTTGAGAACCGAAGAGAGACGGCCCATGCCGTGCTTAAAGAGACACGCTGCTCGCTCCCTCACTATCCATCCTTGGGTTCAAACCGTCTTATACTGCCATCCGGTGGTCAAAAAAGGTACTACACACAAAAATTAACAAACATTTCTTCTTAAACTTGACAGTAATTACTAATTATTGTCAAAGTTCAAACAATATTATCGTTTATCGCAATAATTTCTGAGGCAATTAATCGGCCACAAAATGTGTTATCATGACAGGCCTATACACTGTAGACCAAAAAAAAAAAGATTTCATTTAGGTTTGAAATTCCAGATCATTATTAAGAAAATGGGTGACAATATAAAAAACATTGAGGCTATATAATAACTAGAGAAACTGCATTTCCTGCAAAAATACAGTGTGAATGCTTATTGCTTAAGAACTTGCTGAAAAACAGCTGAAATTAGCTAAAAACTTGTTGAAATGTAGCTGAAATAGAAGAACAAGCTCAAGTTACCAGAAGAAAGCATAAAGAACACATATTTGCTGAATTAGGTTTAAATTAGCCGAAATTAACACAAATATTAGAAAATTAGCTAAAAAAAAAAAAGAGCTGAAATTAGAAGGAAAAAAATAGCTGAAAAGGCAGAAAGAAGCTGATACTAGCAGAAGAAAATGGAACGAGCTGAAATGAGCCAAAAAATGTGGAACTAGGTGAAAAGGCTAAATTTAGCACAAAAACCGCTAAAATAGCAGAAAAAAGCTGAAAGGAGCATAACAAACTGAAATTAGAATAAATAATTTAATTAGGTTGAAATTAGCAGAAATTACTACGAAAAACTTTAATGTATCTGAAAACAGCTGAAATTAGCTATAAAAAAAATGCTTAAAAGTTGCTGAAAAGTAGAACAAGCTTGAATTAGCAGAAGAAAGCAAAAAGAATGTTTGTCTGATTAGACTGAAAGAAGCAGAAATGTGCACAAAAAAGTGGAAATCATCTGAAAAAAGCTGAAATTAGCAAAAAATAAAATAAAACAGCTGAAATGTTGATTAAAAATCAGAAAGAGACTGAAAGTACAAGACAGAAATGTAGAAATCATTTTGCTGAATTAGCCTAAAAGTTTAAATGAGTGCAAAAAAAAAAGTGGAATTAGCTGAAAATGCTAAAATTAGCATAAAACTGCTAAATTGTAGCTGAAATAGCAGAAAAAGCTGAAACGTGCATAAATCAGCTGAAGTGAGCACAACAAACTGAAATTAGCAAGAAGAAGCACAAAAATGTTGTGGTTAGCAGAAATAATCTGAAAAGAGCACAAAACAGCTGAAAAAACAGCTAAAATTATGAGAAAGTAGCTGAAAAATAAAGTTAAATATGCACAAGGAAGCTGAAAGAAGCTGAATCACGTGAAATGGCACAATCAGACAGGGCTGAGAGTGTTTGTTGGGGATCACTCTCGGCTACTACCTCACCCAATTTTGCTTAACATCTGCCAAATTGTCCGAGTTATGTCCATGCTTTTGTTAGCTGACGTCTGTTAGCCGTGGCAGCCATCTTGAATCAGGTTGACTCCAGACGTTAATCAGTTGTAGATGCATATTTAAAGGTAACTGTCCGGGAGTTTCATTAGAATCTGTCAAGTGGTTCACAAGATATTTTGCTAACAGACTGAGTTGACTCCAAAAGGCAAACTTTTACTCAAAAGATCTTGGCCAATCTGTTAGAGCTTAGAAAACGTGTTGGGGGTCAGTCGAAGTTACTACCACACCAGATTTTAGCTCAATGTTTGTAAAACGCAGAGGTGGAGCCATTTTTGTGTTATTTAAGGTCGGTTAGCTGTTGCGGCCATCTTGACATGGGCAAACTCCTACAGTGCATCAGCTGTAGGTCAGCAGTTCATGAGATATTTTGCTAACAGACTATTATAGTCCGCCTTCCGGTTGCGGATGACGGTAATGTTCTCGTTTCCCCCTCAGGGTCCACCGTTTGGCACCCCAGCTGCAAGAACAGCACCAGAACAGAGGAGCGGCACAGGGAGCGGGTACGTCAGGCGCTCCCTCCTCCTCAGTTTGTTTCTGTTCGCGCCGCGGTTCGTTTTCTTTTCACATTTTCAGAAGATTTAACTGAATCGCTCGTTAAACTCTTAACCTGCTGAGGCCACGTGTAGCCTGCGAGGTGTGTGAATGATCAATATATGTGTGCGAACTGCGAGGAGGCTCTTCCCATGTGTGATGTCGTGTGAACCCCACCCTCTCCCTTCCTCCACAGCTCTTGCCTCCGTCCCTCTTATTCCTCCAAAAAACAGAAAGGCAGGTACTGTATTCAGTATTGGCTCTGAGATCACCCTGTTCCTCAATGTTCATGTAGGGTCTATACGCTGCCCCCTGCTGGAGACAGCCTGCAGTGCACCCCCTCCTCTGTGTGCGTGTGTGTCATACAGAGCAGTGCATGAGGCAACAGATGCCCCAGAGTGGGTGGAGCTGATAAATGATCGTCCAACCTGCTGCAGCCATTCAGCCCCTTCATCTCCCATAATCGAGCATGAGATTCTTACGAGCGTCGCGGAGCTGAGGCGCTCATTCACTTTGCACACGTGCAAATGAATGATCTGTCGCTGAGATCGTGTTTCATGAGACGTAACTCCGGGGGGGGGTTAACTGCTCATTAAGTGTTTGAAGCGTGTGAGCGTTTTGGGTGATGACATACAACCCCGGTCTGACAAAGTTGGGACGTTGTGTAAAACGTAAATAACTGAACGTAAATCTCGTAAACATTCATTTGATTCACAATAAAACATAATAATCACAAAAACGTTTAAACTAAGAACCTGCAGCAGATTTAAGAAGAATGAGGACGTTTTAAATTCGAAGGCATCGACACGTCTCCATAAAGTTGTTCCAGGTCCACGTCTCCTCTGTGACGCATCCCCAGTTCTTTTACCAACGGTCTGTTAAAGTCCAGGACCTTAGGAGACCAGTTCTTGCAGGTTGTGGAACGAATGTTTGCACATTTTTTAAACTTTCGGGTCTAATGGAGGAACCCAGATGCTCAAATGTCCTGGATCTTCTTTGCTGGACGTTGTTTCACGCGGTGCACCAAATGTTTTCAGTTGCTTGGAGGTCTGGACTGTAGTTAGGACGGTTCTGGACCTGGACTCTCCTGCTACAGTCATGCTGCTGTAAGGGATGCAGGATGTGGTTTATCGTTCCTTGAAAAAGACGCCTGAAGATGTGCTTCTGTGCTTTTTTTGCATTGATGGAGCCTTTCCAGATGTGTAAGCTGCCCATACCAGAGACACTAATGCACCCCCATACCATCAGAGAGACTGGGTTTTGAACAGTGCACTGATAACGGGCAGGACGGTCCCTCTCCTCTTTAGTCTGGAGGACATGATCAGAACAGTTCTGGACTTCACCTCAGTCCATTTGAAATGAGCTCTGGTCCAGAGAAGACGGCAGCGGTTCTGAATGTTCACATCTGGCTTCTTCTTTGTCTGATAGAGCTTTAAGCAGCATTTATGGACTGTGTTTCCAGTCAATGATCTGTGGAAGTGCTCCTGAGCGCAGAACGGAACCAGACCTGTTTTCAATGCAGTGACCCCTGAGGGCCTGAAGGTCACGACCCTCTGATACGGACCTTCACCCTCAGAGATTCTTCTCATCTGTTGGTGAGATTATGAACTGGAGATGATGGAGATTAAAGTCTTTCACCGAGGAACTTTATTCTAAAACTGATCCATTTTTAGACCCAGTTTTTGCAGACTGGTGAACCTCTGCCCATCTTTACTTCTGATGGTTTCAGCCTCTCTGAAAGTTTTCATACCCAGTCCTCTTGCTGACCTGATGATCATTAACCTATTTGCTGAATGCTCTTCCAGCTGTTTCTTAATCGTCAGACCAGTTCTTTGAGTTGTGGAGGACCTGAGGAGACCAGTTCTTGCAGGTTGTTGTCCCTTGAACAACTTTTTAAAGATGTGTTGCTGCCATAAAGCTAAACCTTGTTTTTTTTCCAAAGAAGTGGTCCAGTTTCTTAGTTCGAGCATCTGATATGTTGTTCCACTGTGAATAAATCGGGGGTTTATGATTTGCAGATCCTTCCTTTATGGTTCTATTTACCTCTTACAGAACATCCCAACTCTTTGAGAACTGCAATGGTATATTCAAGCGTCTCACAGATGATTATTTAATCTAAAAGCTGCTTGTGTGGTTGCCTTTCGTAGCCTACGAGGTCGTCGTCTGAGAGTATTTGTTCCAGACCTGGTTCAAGCATACCTGGCTCACCGGGTCACACCATCTATGTAAGAAATGTCTCTCGGCCACTTTGTTTTGTTTAATTACACTGTTTTAGGGTTTTCTTGTGTCGTAATCTCCTGTGCGTTTGCACAATTGAAATTATTTGTTTTCGTAGGCAAAAGTAGACAACGAGATCCTGGATTACAGAGACCTAGCCGCCATTCCTAAAGTCAAAGCCATTTATGACATTGAGCGCCCCGATCTAATCACCTACGAACCCATGTACACAACCTCCGTGGATGAGAGAGAAGAGCGACATGAGAGCGTGGGGGAGGTAAACGCAAACACTGAACCCTCCTTTCCCTGCTTGAACAAAACAAACAGGCACAAATATATAAAAATAAAAATTGACAGAAGCAGTCTGTTTTCATTTGGAGTGACCTTTTCCTCTGGAGGGATTGTTGATTTTCTGTTGTTCTCAGCTCCACGGTGCCCGGAGGGAACGTTCCCCCCTGCCTGATGACAAGGTGAGGCGAACCACGGAGTACATGGATAAAGACTACAAAGTTCCTGGAGAAACTTTAACTGGGACTGCCTCGTGGCGACCGTTTAAAAATGTTGATTTGACAGTATTGTGTGTTGGGGTTCGCTCTCGGCTACCAACAAACTAAATTTCAGCCTAAAATTGCAAAAAATAAAATCTACGAGTTATAGTCAGTTTTTTTCTTTTAAGCTATTGTTGCCATCTTGGATTTTTGATTTGGGTTCAGTATGTGATGGGGAAGGTTCTCAGCTATAAACACAACAAATTTCAGCTCTTTGTGTAAAAATAGCTGAGCTGAAGACATTTAAATTGAGCTTCGGTGGCCATCTTGATTTTTCTTTTTTAATTCATTATTTATTGGGCATTGGTCTCAGCTACTACCACGCCAAATTTCAGCATAATATCTCTAAAATTGTCTGATTTACTGTAGTTTTCCTTTTTAGCTCAGGTGGCCATCTTGGATTTTTGATTTGCAACAAGAGTCTATGAAAAATTAGAACAACAAAAAAAGGCGTCTTTGCAAATTACGTCGCCATGGTAACTCGAAACGCCAATAAAAGTAACGGCACACATTAAAGTGCCGAGCCGGTCGTTTTGATATAAAATTTGTGGGGGGACATGTTGCAGTTCGGGTCACGTTAAAGTTGATAGAAGAGTAAGATATAAAGTTAAGAAACCCTTGTCAGGTGGATAATAATAAGTGGATGCTTTATAGTAGGCAGTCCCCAATAAAATAAAGTTTTGCTTTAAAGAGTGGTTGTGAAATAAAGGATACAAACAGATAAACACTGAAACTCCATTAGGCTTGTTTGTTACCACAGCTTTGGAAAAACTCCCCCCTAAAATACCACAAATCATGCAGTTTGATCAGTTATTGTATTTCAGTAGATTAAATTTGTAAACTCCTTTTACACCCACGAACTTTACGCTTCTTATAGTTTATACATCAAAAAGTGGACACTTTTGTCCTCTTTTTGTCCGCTGTTAGATTTAAGTTTTTCTCACAGACACACACAAACTCACTGACTGGCATTGAGCTCAGAAACTTCTCAAAGTTGGAAACAAACACGTCATGTATTCTACATTTAACACTGTAGATGTTTAAAGAACAACATACGTGTTTTTAGTGTGAAGCTTTTAAACAGTTGATGTCTGTTTGAGGCTTACTTTGTAGTCTGGGTTTCTGCCTGTCGCAGGAAGAGTGTTGTTAGGGCTTGAGATGTAACCATGTTGAGCCACTGGCAGCAACTTGGAACATTTTTTATTATGATGTGATATATGTTATATATATTATATTATGATGTTTTATGATGATGTTTATATATATATATAATAAGAAGCAGTAACACGGTCTTGTTTGTTTTTCTTATAGTCTTTAAGGAACATGATGTCACCGACTCCAGAGGTGAGCCGACTGTTTGGATTTTCTGTTCAGTTTTTGGTTTTAAATCTTGCTCTGAATCGTTTCTCCAGTTTGAGTAACAACGTATGTGTTTGTGTGTTTGTGTCAGAGCTCTTACGACTGTAGGGACCGTATCCTCCAAAGGTCCACCAGTCAGGGATCCATAGGGTCACCAGTCTATAATCGTCATGGTTACACCCCCACCTTATCGCGGTCGCCTCAGCATTTTCACAGACCTGGTGGGTTCTTAACGGGACTGTTTTTGTTCCTGTGTGTGGCTTGGCAGGTCCTCCTTCAGATCTCCTTACTCGGGGGGGGGTCTACAGTTCGCAGCTCTGGGGCCACACATGTCCCTTCAAGTGGCTCCTTGTAACTTTACCCAAAAACGGCACAAACTTGTTTAAGTTTCGCTGTAAACTGATAAGAACGGGTACTTTTAGCTGTTTTCCATCCAGATTTTTCAGTTTATGCTTAGAATTTCTTCAGCAAAATGACTTTAGGTCATCAACAGACATTTATGCACATATTAGTTATTAAAAAAGGCACTTTGTTCACAGCTTACCATCATTTTATTACAGATGGAGCCAGATAAGGTTTGAGTTTTCACTAAAATGTGTTTGAAATGCGATAACCTGTTTTACTGTTGAGCTGATAGATTATCCTGTTTCCTGCTTGACACCAAATCCATCAGAAAGTTAACATTTTTTAACATAACTGAGGAAATGTCTGCAAAAGCAGAAAGTTGTTTTGCACAGCTATTTAAAATACGATTTTATGGTATCAGACAAATCAACATACAGGAATGTCCTGATGCTCAATAATCCAGGCAGATGAATCTTACATGGTTGAGTCAGGTGCTCTGGACGGGTTCTTCTCCATAAACATACAGGAAGTTAAAGGAAAAACAGGAAACAAGAATTCTGCGCAGAATAAAACAAGTAGTTCTGGATATTTTTCTGATATAGATCGATGTCCTTTTTATTTTTTATTTTTTTTAAATTATCTAAATGCCACAATGTAACATAAAATAGTATATTTATACAGAACCGTGTATAAAGTTATTATACTTTGTGTAGCTTGTAAATTGTGTGGCTTTTAATAAAGTTATTAAAAAATTTAGGAGAGATGGCTCTTCTCCCTGAACGAACCGCTTTAACCGCTTTTACAAAATGGACTTTTTTTTGTAGAATAACAAACTAATGATAACCTGTCTCTGTTAATTGTTAGTTTTTTTGTTTGAGATTAGGTTTTTAACTTTTTAGTGTTCCTTTTCTCAGTTTTAGTCATTTTTCTTTTCAAACATTTGACTCTTATCTTCCCTTTCTTTTGCTCCTCGCCGTCTCGCTCTTCCTCTCAACTCCATATTGTCCACCTCTGCTGTCCGGTCCCGGGGTTTTTTCCTCCCTCGTCCTCCTCCCGCCGTCCTCCCCTCCCTCCTTGCAGAGGCTCTGACAGGCATGCAGAAGCTCTGCTCCTCCCTCTGCAGTAACAGTGTGGGCTCCAGAAATAGTGACTCTCGCCCCACCTCCCCTTTCAGACACCACTTCCTCCCCCATAGCCAAGGTAAGGGCCCTGCTCCACGCTTATCTGACCCCACAGTTTGAAGCAACACGTCATTTCCAGCGTCAACAGAGTTCCACTTCTCATCTTCGTATCATCCATCACCATAAATCCATCATCATCCTCGCCCATTAGAGTCAAACTGGTTGTGGGTTTTGGTCGCAGTCGGGCAACCGAGCAATCGGTTCTTTGACTCTGCCAAGTAGCTTCCAAGCTTTTTGTGACTGGTCACTTTGCATGCGCTTTTTAGATACTAGTAATCCCAAAGTACCGGTACTATCCAAACAATAAACTCTCCGAAGGTTAAAAGGTAAAACCAGTGTCTGACTGGGCTGCAGCTGCTGGCGACTCGTTGGCGAATGGCGGTTAGCAACATCTGCTCAATATGAAACTAAACTTCCCGTGATTTTTGTTCATTTTCACTCTGACGTTGTTCAGACATGTAAGTTCCAATTCTGTGTAATTCCAAATAACAGTTTGTCTATTTTCATTAGAGCCCGACCGAAATGGACATTTTTGCTATTGCCGATACCGATATTGGTCAGTTATGGCTAATGTCGATAACCAATATATTGGCTGAAAATTTTTGAGCTTTGTCCACCCCCAAGAATGTACGTAAACAGCTACTTTTAAACCTGTTTGGTTACAAAGATAAGATTACAAACAATTCATTTCATTGAGGACGACAGAGATAACGTTACTAACACTGATATATTTTACTTCTACATTAGATTATTGCTCTGAATGAAGTTTTACTAGGCAATAGTCTGTGCTAGGTTATCTAAACGTTAGCTTGCTAACTTGAGAGACACGTAGCTTATGACAAGCGGTTTGGAGGATTGAAGAGAATTTACTATTGTTATTTTTTTTTATTTTACAGATCATTTACAATAAATTTAACATGATCTGTTCAGCAAAATACGCTGCACAGTATTTAGTTGCTTGTTGCTTCGCCTGTGCTGTGTCAAGTGGCGTGGCCGTGACTTGAAAGTAGTCCGCATGCGCCCTCTACTGGATACATTGTACAATTACGCCATTTGCCAGTAAGGACACGGCTCGTTCCCAGTATTTTAGGAGTGAAAATTAGAAGTGTTTATATTGGTGCATGATAAGCCAATTATTACCGATACTGATATGTCCCGGACACCTATATCAACCTAAAATATTGACCCCTACCGATATATCGGCCCTACCGATATATCGGCCCCACTGATATAGCGGCCCTACCGATATATCGGCCCCACGATATATCGCCCCACTGATATAGCGGCCCTACTGATATATCGGTCCCACGATATATCGGCCCCACTGATATAGCGGCCCTACCGATATATTGGCCGAGGCTCTAATTTTCTCTACAGTTTTGTCTTGAACTGTCCCCAACAGTTGCAGTCCATTAAGATGCTACCGTAAAGTAAAAATAGATTTGCTGAAAGGAAATAACTTAAAGTTCTAACCTGCATTATATTATCAACTCGTTTGAACGTTTGTTCTCTTCTGGTTTGAGCTGCTTCTGTTCCGCCTCAAGTGGATTTTTCAGAACCCAACAGAATGATTTCCATTTGCTCAGAATGTCCTCACCTGGTCCTGCTGGTCCGTGTGTGTGTTGCACCGTTCAGACTGTGGTTCCCCTTTAGGATCTGTGCTCATATTTTGTTCTTGGTTCTTCTCACGTGAGGCGCCGACCCGCCGAGTGGCCGGAGCTCACCCCTCCCACTCAGGCTCGAGAGCCGGCCAGTCACCCCGCCTCTCTGTCAGACCCCTAAACATTTCCACGTCCCAGGTAGGAGCTGGAGCGCACCCTGTCACTGCTCAGACCTTCTTTTGTTTCTTTCTTTCTTTGTCTGGTTGATGTTTGTTTGTCTAGTTGGTTGTTTGGTTGGTTGATTGACGTTTGTTTGTTTGTCTAGTTGGTTGTTTGGTTGGTTGATTGATGTTTGTTTATCTAAATGGTTGATTGGTTGATGTTTGTTTATC